CACCATTACTGATCAGCCCCGATTCCGGGACTAATACGGATAATCTAGAGCCACTAGTCGCATTAAGCGTCCTAGACGCCGCCTCGATGCTCGATCCTTGCTTTGCACGTTCGTTTCTGTCACGTGCGAGACGACCCTCGTTCCAATACATCGCTCCAGGTCTTCTCCTACCCCCGGCTGACTTATCTGGGTTTGTGTCGTCACAGAAATTCACCGCATTGCCCCTTTCCCAGTATACCGTACCGCCAGTATGCCTTTTCCCTGCCGACACCGGAGACCAGCGTCCTATCGAGCTCACGAGATTTACAAGTCCATGGGTATTAATGGAGGATTTCTATTCATCGTCTACCGATACGCATACACCGTCTCGTATCTCTGCGGGTCTATATAGTACAGCGGTGGATAGAAAATGGGATGACATGGTCGAGGATGGATTTCAGCTGTTTCTCCCGTTTACCGTCAATGCTGGCTATGGCAGGAAGGTAGGCGCACGAAAAAGCGATGGGGAGCTTGTTGATAGGGACAGGTTCTCGGAACTCTTTCAGCATGGGTTCAAGCCTTTCGGTGGTAACTACTACCGCCCTCAGCGGCTGGAGCGTTTGTTGGATTGTTGGCGCAAGCTGGTTGAAGATGGCGTCTGGTCTGTTGGGCCGGATGGGGTAGAAGGTACAATCGATACCTTCAAAGATGCTGAGACGGAGAATCGTTGGAGGGATTACTATATCCCTCCCACGTGGTAGATTATCCCAATTCCATGCCGCCTTCAATCCGGAGACTATTTTTGCGCTCTATTCTGTGGGGATGAACCAGGTAGTCATCCTACACATGAATGATCTGAGCATGAGCACTGGTCTGAGCCCGTGCTGACATCTACTCAGTGAGCCTAAGCCTGAGCGCCCTCATAAAAGCGGCGGCAGCTCAAATAGGAAAGCCCCAACCGCCAGGGAAAGTATTGGTGCATACATACATACCCTGGTTCTAGTTGAGTCACATTCAAAAGCAAGGATGCATAAAACACTACAAAGGGTAATAAGGAAAATACAATTGGGATAGTGGGAACATTCAGCCCAGCAGATTACATTCAAACAGGCAATCTATTACTGTGGCCGTCTAGAGCAGAGATTCTAGATAGGGTATCATAGGAGATCATAAATCATGCAGATCAAAAACGGGGCGGGAGAAAAAAAAAAGAGGAGAGAAAGAAAATAGTAAAAAATCATCAAGCCGTAGATCATCTAGATCATGGAAGTCTCGAGTGTACGCGGACTCAGACAGGGTATAGACACGTTGTCTAGTACCGGGATCCGCGAGGTCTGAGACGTAGCGGAATTTGTGTGGGGGACATGGGGAACATGGCGTGAAGGTTGAGTTTGTTTGTCCGCTGTGTTAGAAATGGGGTGCTCGGGGATGTCCAGAGAAAGACCATTATGGCCGCTATGTGTGAGACAGCCAACACAGCTGCAGTCGCTACCGCATTGGCAGCTGCCCGTCATATCAGAACAGGCGCTTGGTAGCCCAACTGGGTATTCCAGGGTGTAGTACTCCGAAGGATGCATCAACTGCTGGTTCAGATGGTGGTTTCCCGGCAGAGGGGAGGAGTAACCGCTGGGTAGGGTTGAATTTGGGTCCGAGTAGCCATCAAATGGAATCGGCTGGAAGCCATGGTCCATTGAAGGAGTGTTTTGCATAAAGTAAGAGAATGTGGTCGAGGGTGTGCCTCCCTGGTAAGGTGAGGCTTGATAAGGGTTGATGGCGTCCGGATTCTTGTCATCGCCATTAGAGGTGATGATCGCACCCATCTCTTGGACATGCTTCCGGGTTGTGGTATTGAATGGATGAGCAGCGCAGCCAAGGCACTGACAATCTTCTCCACAGCGACAGTCATGACAAGAGTCACCGCCTGATGGGGCATTGTAGGAAGGCTCGAGATTGTTGAGCATGTACGGGCCCATAGATGGCTGCGTGATTCCAAGACCGTTCATCGGGTTTGAGTACGCCATGGAAGGTGGCGACGTAACACCGAGTGGCATCCCTATTTGGGACATTTGGGGCTGAGACTGTGGTAGCATCATTCCCGTGTACCCATTATGGAGGCTTGGGTGCTGGGGATGTGCTTGGTGCATAGCGGAATGCATGTAGTCTCCTGGCGTGGGAATTGAGGAATTCTGCCATGGGGACATTTGAGGCATGGGGAACTGCATGTAACTCTGGTCATCCCAAGCAATAGGCTGTTGGAATTGCTGCTGGTTGGCCTCTGGGTACATGGCTAGATTTGTCGTGGAAGGACGAGACCCTCCGCAGCAAGATCCACCATTCTGAGCCGGAGCAGCAGCCGCAGGAGGAGCTGGAGTCGGGGTAGGTGCCTTCTGCTTTTGCTTTTGAGAGCAGCAGCTTGATACTTGGGGAGACTGCGAGTCTTTCCTGGTGGTTTCTATGGGTGATGGCGCCTTTTGGTTTTGCGTAGACACAGTGGGAGATGTGTGTGAACCCTCTGACATGAGCTGTGAAGAGAAGTCGGAAACCAAATTCGACGCTCCATCCTCGAGCTTGACCTTGCCTGGCATATTTTCTAATGCCCGCGCTATGTTTTCGGGTGCTGCTTGCATAGTACTTTGTCTTCTTCCAGACTTCTGGACTTTTCCTGGAGCTGGTGAGGATGTAGAAACCATGGAGGGTGGGGGTGACTGAGTTGAATCACCGGCATCCATGGGAACTTTATAGAGCGGACGACATAAGCATGATGAGCCTAGGGCAAGTCAGTACAACGCAAACATATGTGTGGTAGTTTGGTGACAAAGGTATACCTTTCGGAATGCGGACCATCACGGCATATGTCTTCTGGCAGCTGCAAGTTCCTTTCGGGTGGGGACATTTTGCAAGAGGACGCCCAGCTTTGGGTACTTTCATCATGAGTCGATCGAAGTGCTGGCATTTTGACGATCGGTGACCTCGAATGCATGGTTCACTGGTGTAACTCTTTAGCCCGGTTTCATTGTCAATGTACGATATATTCCTACCAGGACCACTTGGCGCCTTCTTCATCAAGAGGCATATTGGCAAAAAGGTATGTATGATTCGGTCGAAGTTAAGGTGAAACGCAAGATTGATTCGTAATAGCGCAACCGTGAGTCGCAGAACCCCAACGGCTAGTCGATACCCCGCGCATGCAATCGCCCGTTTCCGCTAGGACCATCAGACGCCTCGTATTTTGCGACAAACTAAGCCATATGTATACCCGTATTGTCAGAATGTCGTTCGCGAGAGCAGATCAGAGTGGAAGGTGGAGTCGAGACGGAGCGAAGTGGAGGTTTAGATTTCTTCAACGATGGCGGGAGAGACCGGGCTGATGTGATCGCAACACCAACACCACAGGATATGAAATAAGCACTAAGAGATCGAGTCCATATGATCCGAATAGTTCATAGATCACAGCAAGTTCAGGCTATTCCCAAGTAAAGACGGTAAAAAAGGCGGAAAAAAGGTGCGGGGAGGACGGTACCTGGCTAGTATTAGGTAAGGCCATACCTGCCTGTTCGGGCTTGGCGCGTCGGAATTGTTTCGATGACGGCACTTGGGGACACTTTTGGACGTTGGCGACATTTGGAAAGTTTCATACCGCCACAATGCCACCCAAAGGCGCCGATGGCCCTCCAGAAGAGTCCAATGCTAGTCCATTCTTTACTGTCCCCGCTCCCATCAAGCGCCTCTTCGACAAGTTCCCGTTGACTACCTATCCCGCCAACGAGATCCCTCAACGCCTTCGACCGCACGACAATGTTAACCAGCTCTACGTGTTCACCGACGCATCTGGTGTACGACATGGGCGACCTTCATTCAATCCTCAATGTCTTAAATGGCAGGTTCGTGCCATCTCACATGCAAGGACGCGTATAGCCGTCCCTGTCGGAACCATACTGATCGGCCTGGCTTTAGGCATACTTGAAATTCGTCGGGATTGACTTTGAGATCACTTCATCCAACAACCATGCATCGCCGAATGGTTCCCTGCCTTTCCTCCTACCCTCTCTACCTGCAGACTCCTCGCGTCCAATCCCTTCACACAAGATCCAAAAGTGGGCGATTGAACAAGTTCACTGCGAGGAGGAACAACAATTGAACCTGCGGTTCGAGGTTTACGCCTCGCTTTTGGACAACCGGATACGCAGCGCTTGGGTAGGCACATTATTCTATCAGAAACGAAACGCAGGCTCGAAGGAACTGACTGATGTGTCTAGTTATACATGCTTTACCTAGACAGTGAGAACTTCGACGCCGTCGCACGCCGACTCTACGTGAATCCCACAACCTCAAACTCGGCCGTGCGCGCCGCTCTGGCCCACCAGCTTCAGCAGGCCGCGCGCGATGAGCTCCTCAAGACATCGCGCTACATCGACGCCGCTGCCCTAGAAAGCGATGCAGGTAACGCATTCGAAGCACTATCCACCTTACTCGGCGAAGACGAGCACTTCTTCGGCCGGCCAAACCCAGGCCTCTTCGATGCCAGCGTCTTCGCCTACACGCAATTGATCCTGGACGACACCCTGGGCTGGAAACGTAACCGGCTGGGACAACTGCTCAAAGAGCATCCCAATCTTGTACAACACCGCGACAGACTACTGAAATTCTTCTGAATGTATAACAACAAACCATGGCGTTGGATGCGGTCTCATTATTTAGATAAAAAAATAATATCTCTCCTGTTTTACCTCTTAACAAAACAAACCCCAAACCAAACCCTAACCCCAATCCACTTCTTCGCCCTCGCCCCCAAAACATCCCCCAATTCCTCATTAACCCCCTAACAACCACTCCATCCGCACCCGCACCAACAATCTCCTCAACCTCAAACCCAGCCTGAGCAGCAGCATCCAAAACATCAGGAATAGCATGACAATAACTCGTAGGCCGAACCTTAACCCCCCTCTCATCCGTAAACCCCGCCTGACTCCTCATCCCCATCTCAGCATGCATATTCGTGACAAGCAAATATGCACCGGACCTCATAATCCCCGCAGCAGCAGCAAAAACCGCTCTAGCGGGATATGTTCCAGAACCAGCGTAGATATCACACCAACAGCACCGGATCCCTTCAACGAACACGGAAGTTGTGTCTTTGATAGCTCGGGTTGAAGGAGGTCAAGAATACCAAGCTCAAGATCCGTCTGCACTGCGCTTTTAGTCGCAAACTCACGTGTCGCAGTCCGCGCTACGTCTAGCATCCCGCGTGAGGCATCCAGTCCGATTACAGAGAAGGAAGTGGCTTTGTTGGCCGTGCTTAGCGTGGAAAGAAGTTGGATTGTGTTGCGGCCGGTGCCGCAGCCTAGGTCTACTAGGCTAGGGCGGATTTCCTTGGTCTCTGTCTCTGGTGGGCTTGGTTGGAAGCGCTTGCTTACCCTGTCGATGAATTGGGGTAGTAGAGTGCGCATTTCGATTGTGTCGAGGCGTTGGAGGAAGTTGCCATCTGTATCGTACACCTGTTTTATGTTAGTTTAGGTATATAGCATATAGCATATGGTATATATAAGTTAAATGGTTATATGAACAGCCTGTGTTGGTTACATTGTGCCACGGTATAACTAGATTATAATAGGTAAGATCTATGTGATGGATGAGAAATATGAAATGGAATATAGACACTCACCTCTGCCCATTTATCGTATGCTTCTACCGTGTCAATATATTGCGTTTGTTGTGAAGGTCCAGAAGCCTTTGTAGCCAACAATTCCTGGATTGTCGCCATTTTGGGAGGAGGTGATTGTACCATGGAACGACTCTAGATTTCAGTGGGTGTGCGGGGATATATAGAACTCGTGTTCCACGCTAATACTAGACTTTTCTCCACTTTGAACGTCGAACTTGAAGTATATAACAGAGTCTGCACTGCATTGACTCATACCTGAACTGTGACTCATTTATATAAATTCTGATCTAGATCATATAGAGATATCACACCGAGAATAACCGAGAAAGCTGATAGCCTTAAAAAACCGAGTCTACGAAGGCTAAGCCTATACTGGGAAGTAGCATTACAAAGAAATGTTGGTGATCATCAGGGATATATGACAGCTGGTTTGGTCACAGAGAAGAATCGTACACATTCATGTCACCATTAAAGAGACATAAGGAAAACGATAATGAAACAAAGCCCGGGGAAAGGGCGCACTAGATAGGTTGACAAAGTTCCAGGATTGGAATAAAAGATAAAGAGAGCTCAAAAGACAGGCCAAAAGAGGGCGAGACATCAGTCCAGGGAATCGCATAATTGCCGTACCGGACGGAACATAAGTCAAACGCTCGTGAAGAAGAGGAAAAGAGGTCAGGAGAAGGGAAGATAGAAAAAGGGGGGAGAGGAAAGGAAAGAGAAAAAAGCCAAATAATCGCAGCGGACATCGCGCATATCTGGTCATCGAACAGTGAGTGAGTCAATCATCGCTAGTCAATCATCGCTAGTCAAGTCATTCAGTAAACCGTCGCTCCGAACGGAGCCGTTTCCTTCAGGTCCTCTACGAGGTCCTCGACGTTATTGAGATACCTCCCCAGAAGAGCCTGCTTCTCGTCCGTCGTACGGGTATCCCGGTTCGTTTTACTCGCAGCATTTGCCGCGGCGGAGTGCGCACTGCGCGAGAACGGGGCAGAGGAGAGTTTGCTGGGGCTGCGCTGCAGACCTGGCGGGGGAGACATCGGTGCCGGGGTCATGGCCTCGGGCATCAGATAGAAGTAGAGGAATTCGACGAGTTTGAGCTTGACTTCGCGGGAGGTGGCGCGCTGCTTGAAGAGTGATGTGACGGTGAGGAGGCCATCGAGGTCCTCGAATGTGCGTGTGTTTGACGGGCAGTCCAGTAGGGCAGTGACGAGTGTGAGAAGGGTGGCTGATTGCACGGCTGGGCAGTTGATCGGGTCGAGGAGGTCGAGGAGGAGGTTCATGTAAATTTCGCGGGCGAAGAGGGTGCGCGAGCCGCGATGGAGGAGGAGGGCGCCTTGGATTAGATCCAGTGTGCAGACGATCAGCATGTCGTTTGTGCCGTTACTTCCTCGCCCCAGAAGGTGTTCGAGGCAGGATACTAGGCGCATCGCAACTGAAGGATACTGTTAGCGCGCAGACCCCAGTTGCAATAGAAATTTCCGAGACATACTATTCCATTGAAAGCTTTCCTGCAATTTGGAAAATTCCCGAAAGGCCGGATCATCTCGCAACTCTGACAAGGTCTTTGGCACGGGCTGGGTATCGGGGGAGCGTGATCTCCGGTCCAAGACGGGCTTAGGTTTGGATAGACATATCTGTGCCAGTAGTCCCTCGACCTGGCGTAATCCTTTGCGGATCTTGCTGGGCTCGTATGAGGAGAGGTAATCGAACGAATGGGCTAATAGAGCCTCCATTGATAAATCAGATGTGAAAAAGTGAGCTATTCAACTCGAAAAAAAGAAAAGCAGTGAACATTCTTTAAAACCAAAGGTCAAAAAAGAAAGTGGAGAAGGTCCGTGTTGTCCGTGTGTTGTTCGGGTTGGGTGGATGAGGTCAGTTGGGCCCTTCCAAGGTTTCGTAGTAAATAAAGGGCGGTTGCCCCAGGCAACTGGCCAATAACCAGGGAACTCATCACATTAGAGAACTCTTAGCTCGACCTTAGATCGACCCCTGGCGTTAATCAGGTTCAGCTTTAATGTTAATTATAGTACAACATAGTAGTGTAGAAGCCCTAAATACATATATATAATAGTCTACACCGTATGTTGACCTCTTTTTCACCCTACATAGTACTCCGTTGCTATAGTGAACCCTTTGTATCTGATATCGAATTATTGAACAATTCATTTGTTAATCCCTACCTCCCCCCATGACCTATCATAACATCATATTCCCTTTTGCTAATCAAATTGACCTATCTCATTTGTCAATCCTCTATTATCCCTGCCAGGTGTCAGGTGTCAGGTGGCTCAGCCTCCGATTAGTCATGGACCTCGGTATCCATGGATCCCAAGTCCAGGCGTCATACCTCCATACTATACTATGTACGGAGTATATCATGATAACTTGAATGATACCTTTTACAACATGATATAGTGTCATTGTACACGTACGAATATATCTTCCAAGGTTGTAAAAGTGCCGCTGATGTCATCTATCTATACATATCGCGTAACTCCGGACTTACACGTAGCTCCGGAGGTCCTTAGCTCCACACGTCTTTCTGCCGCCTACCGAACCCCTCCATCCCCCCATCCACAATCATGAGCTCACCACCCTTCCAACCACCAAGCCCTGTTCCTCCTCGGACAAGCTCAGCTAATGCAACAAATGGCACCGGGAGCCCTTCTCACCGACGCAACCTGTCGGTGACAGGTGAAGAGCCGACGAGAACCGGACATCGCCGCAACAAGTCCAGTGTGGACGGCACCAAGTACAAGGATGGAACATGGTCATCAAATAATGATAAGATCCTTATGGGTCCATACGACTACGTGCACGAGCAACCAGGGAAAGATATTCGGCGACAACTGATACACGCCTTTAACGCTTGGCTGCAGGTCCCGCCGGCGAGCCTGGCGGTCATCACCAAAGTTGTAACGATGCTGCATACATCGTCGCTGTTGTGAGTTTGCACCCTCCACACCGCCTCCCTCCTTTCTCCCACTCCATATGCTGATGCTGACCGCGTGCGTCCCAGAATCGATGATGTCGAAGACAACTCCGTCCTCCGCCGGGGCATTCCCGTTGCACACAACATCTTCGGAACAGCGCAGACAATCAACTCCGCAAACTACGTATATTTCCTCGCCCTGCAAGAACTACAGCAGCTCAAAAACCCAACCGCAATCGATATCTACGTACAAGAGATGCTGAACCTGCACCGTGGCCAGGGAATGGACCTTTTCTGGCGCGACACGCTGACTTGTCCGACGGAAGACGAGTACCTGGAAATGGTCGGAAATAAAACGGGCGGGCTCTTCCGCCTCGCGGTGAAGCTCATGCAGGCCGAGAGTACAACAGGCAAGGACTGCGTTGCCTTGGTCAATGTCATGGGCTTGATTTTCCAGATCTGCGACGATTACCTCAACCTGTCGAACACGGTGTACACGGAAAACAAGGGATTCTGCGAGGATCTCACCGAGGGGAAATTCTCCTTCCCGATCATTCATAGCATTCGCTCGAACCCGTCTAATCGCCAGCTGATTAATATTCTGAAGCAAAATACCAAGGAAGCGGAGGTTAAGCGCTATGCCGTGCAGTACATGAAGAATACGGGCAGCTTTGCGCACACCAGTCGAGTTGTTGCGGATCTGCGAGATCAGGCGTTTGCATTAATTGAGAAGATCGATGCTACGCCGAAGATCAATGGATCTGGCGATGGGCAGATGGTGCGTGCTATTGTGGAAAAGATCGTGGAGTCGACGCTGTCGGATCCCAATGCACGCTAGCTGTTTATTTGTTCTTTTGGTATGATTTTGTGGAGGTCGTGTATTTGTTGGATATACCCAGTTCCAGTTATGTTGTTTTCAAAGTTGGTTATGTAGCTACGAGCGTTCACGATGATATGATTTACGTTTATATGCGCCCGGAGCGCAAAGTACTCAATAGCATGAAAGTAAATGGTAGCTCCATCAGAAGCAATGCTCATGTTCATATAAGGGTATAACCACATCCTTGTCATCATGAGTTGTGTCGGGACTGAACCCAAACTCAAGGTCGTATGTGGATGATAGATGGTCTAGAAACGAGAAACTCAAAGCGCAAAATGTCACCAACATCGGACAACCAAGATCTGTCCACAAACACAGCTATGCATCTATGTATATGTCCCAAACACCAAAAATACAAGCTCACATAACCACACAGCAAGCCTTCTCGAGCTTGCGCAGAACCTTGGGCAGAAGCTTCTTGGCAAGCTCCTCCAGCTCGTCCGGCTGTTGTTGTCCTTGTTGCTGTCCATGCTGTTGCTGCTGGTGTCCTTGCTGGTGTCCCTGTTGGTGTCCAGGGTACCCAGATGAGCCGCCCTGGTGACCGGACGAGGGAGGCATAACAGCCTCACCACCAGTCAAGTTCACGTAGATGCGACCAGCGTTCTCCTCAGTGGCATACTGCAGCCCCAACTCACGGCACACCTGCTCGACGCGGGGCTTGATTTTCTGGATGTGGTTCGCGGAGTGGTTTCCCTTGCCGACGATACTATGGCGCGAAGCTGTGTTAGTCGCGTTGAGTCCAGCGCACAATCCTCTCCCAGCGATTTATTCTACCACTTACACATGAAGGTGATTCTGCCCATGCGCCTTGGCATACTTGATCCGCTCTTCCAGGATCTCCTCAGCCTCCTCAACGAACTGCCCGTGCAGATCAATGGTGTCTGCCTCGACGCGCCCGTTGGCATTGTTCTCGCGGAAGATAAACTCAGACGCTTGTCTGTTATACTCCTCCATCTTGCGGCCGTGTGCCTTTCCCTCCTCGGAGAGCTGCTTGGCGGCGGCGCCATCGCCGCTCGAGTAGGCCTCCTTGGACTGGCGAGAGTGTTAGCGTTGCTGGAATTACTAGAAAAGCGCTTGCAATTGCGATTATAACCGAGCGATTGGAATTAGGTGGTCGCATACCCGGCTGAAACATTGTCCGCGCTTGGAGGCTTCCTGGCGCGCGAGGTCGCGGAGCCGATCGTACTCCGCCTCGGCGTCGCTGCTGTTGTCGTGGTTGAAGGCTAGTGTTGTTAGCGATTGGTAATGGCCATGACAGAATTGACACATTACATACCCCGAGGGCCCATGTGGGACATTTCGTGCGACATGATTGCGATGATAAGAATGGGGAAAGGGAAGGGTGTGTACCTTCTTAAGGTGGGGAATACCCGTAAAAATCAGATCGATCGGGTTCCTTGGGTCTTGCAAGGTTTATTTTTTTGCCCCGATCGCTGGAACCAAGATTTTCGCCCCATTGGGATTCATATTGTGGGTTGGAATATTAGAACAGACATCGAGAGTAGGTGTGTAGATGGGAATGAATATAATAATATGTTATATGATTACGGAGTATATTAACTATGAATCAATCCACGATTTAATGGGCCAGATGGGTGTGGATAAACCTTTGGAAATGATCTACGCAGTTTGTCACAATCATCCAACCCTGGAGCTTCAGGTAATTTATTCTTGTATGGAGTGGTAATAGGTATATTTAGATGGGTTAGTAATCACACATACATAGTACCATCCACTTGGGACTTTCGACCCAGGGAAACTTCCAGACTACCAAATTCAGAGTTCAGGGCTCGCATTTAGACGCCAAACTAGAGCCGCGGACTTCAATAGTCTCCATTGCCACGAGGCAATAGTGGAGTCCAGTATCGTCTCACACAAATTGGCCGCAGAAAACGGCTAGAGGCACTAGCCAGTGGGTCATTTAGTGTAGAACTTCAGGGGACAACCTTGGGACACGACTGGAAAGAGGAAATCCGCTATCTTGCACTTTTTTTTTTCACCGATGTCGACATTGGCCTGTGTTGACCGATCTTCTTTTGAATCACTTAATACACGGAGTAGTCTTGTTGGATCTACCACGGAATAGAGGTAATGAGTACTAACATTCAAGATGTGACAGTCAGTGTCTCGCCATTCTCGCATAGTAGTCGCTCGCTTAGATGGACTATGGGCTCCACTGGGTATAAAACGGAGGATCCACGGATGTGCCGACTGTGTCAGGAACCTGTCGGGTTATCCGTACTATTGTAACTCAAAGAAGTTTCAAGGAAGTTTCAAGGAAGTCTCAAAGAACCAGACATGGATGCATGGAATGAGGCGCATACTAGTCTGATTGGGTAGGAGCACTGGCTTTTTGCTTTGTTTCTTTGTCTTCCTCAGACTGAAATCATCCGAGACGAGGTACTGCTGAGGTCAGGTCAGACGTCAGACTTTATGGAACGTCCATGTGGGGAGTAAACTGTACGACATATTGGATGTTGTACGGAGTACATAGTTGGTTTTGTCAGGGGTTCCCTACCCATACTCCTAAAGGAGCTACGATTACTTCCAACGTTGCTGTTGTTTCCAACATTGGATCTTCAAATGTGATTCGCGTTGCGGTTTGATATGCTAGTTTTCCTCTCCACAAGATCTGCACGCCTCCAGGAGTCCACCGACATCTTTATGTTGTATACATACGAAGTATTTATGTATGGTCTATTCTGCAGTATACATATGAAGGGCTGACTGTCTGAATCAGAATGTTCCATAGATGCATTTGTATACGGAGTATAAATACTTGAAACTAGAATCTGTACCGATGCAATGGCAATAGAATACCACAAACCAGCCAATACAATAGCAAAAAAAAAAAAAAAAGCAAAAGGGGCTGAATGGGCCCCTGTTCAAGTCCCCACACCGCCCAATCAGCTGACTCCATCTGCCGGGTGGTATTGTTTTGTATTCGGTATTTGGTGTAATCAATACGCAAGATCCAGTAAGCAGGCAGTTTCCCTAATCACCCGCCATTGTCTGGTGAATCGATGTGGTAATATCACCGTATCCCCTTTCTCTGCTGAAACTTTCCCAATTTCCCCCTCAGTCTTGCCCCTTACCTTTCAGTTGTATCTCTCTCTTCTCTCTCTTCTTTGCCCAGATTGGATTCTATTCGAATTCTTCTGATTCTTCCTTTCTTTTCGTTTCTTTCATTTTTTGTCATTTTCGCTGGTTTGTCCTTCGTTTTTGCACTGCAAAAGCACGTTCAGGTGGGTACCCTTTTTTTCCCCTTGGATTTGTCAATTGGTTTATTTGCTGTTAAATTCGGTGCCGACTCCTTGCATGGGGATGCTTACACCAATTCTGAAACGCCGTCTGCCTCTGCTCAGCGATGCTTGTACCACCTATGCAACGCCCCCCTCGAGCCCATCAATGCAATATTTCCTCGGATGAAATTATTCCAGCTTGCTGACAGATGATCCGACTTGGACAGCCCCTGTAACAGACTTCCGAATATTCCTCCACGAAGAACCCTTTCTCATCCACTTTTACACCGTTAATTGCGACTTAATCCCGTCAAGATGGGTTGCGGAATGAGTACCGAGGATAAGGAGGGGAAGGCGCGGAACGAGGAGATTGAGAACCAGCTCAAGCGCGACAAAATGATGCAAAGAAATGAGATCAAGATGTTGCTCCTCGGTATGATTTGGTGACCCCTGATGGAAATACCGGCGGATGGCTGACTTGGAATACAGGAGCCGGAGAGTCGGGCAAGTCCACGATCCTGAAGCAGATGAAGCTTATCCACGAGGGTGGATACTCCCGCGACGAGCGTGAATCATTCAAGGAAATCATCTACAGCAACACCGTCCAGTCGATGCGGGTCATTCTCGAGGCCATGGAATCGCTCGAACTTCCCCTGGAGGATGCGCGCCACGAGTACCACGTGCAGACCATCTTCATGCAGCCCGCTCAGATCGAGGGTGACAGCATCCCCCCCGAGGTTGGAAACGCCATTGGCCAACTTTGGCGCGATACTGGTGTTCAGGAGTGCTTCAAGCGCTCCCGCGAATATCAGCTGAACGACTCTGCCAAGTAGTGAGTAGTGACCGCTCGTCTGTCGCATTGCGATGCAACTAACCTGTTTCCTCTTAGCTACTTCGATTCTATTGAGCGCATTGCCCAGCCCGACTACCTCCCCACCGACCAGGATGTCCTCCGTTCCCGTGTCAAGACTACCGGTATCACCGAGACCACATTCATTATTGGTGACCTTACATACCGCATGTTCGACGTTGGTGGTCAACGATCCGAGCGCAAGAAGTGGATTCACTGCTTCGAGAACGTCACCACCATTCTGTTCCTCGTTGCCATCTCTGAGTACGATCAGCTGCTCTTCGAAGACGAGACTGTCAACCGTATGCAAGAAGCCTTGACTCTGTTCGACTCTATCTGCAACTCCCGATGGTTCGTCAAGACCTCGATCATTCTCTTCCTCAACAAGATCGATCGCTTCAAGGAGAAGCTCCCCGTCAGCCCGATGAAGAACTACTTCCCCGATTATGAGGGCGGTGCCGACTACGCCGCGGCTTGCGACTACATCCTCAACCGATTCGTTTCCCTGAACCAGGCCGAACAAAAGCAGATCTACACGCACTTCACCTGCGCTACTGATACCACCCAGATTAGATTCGTGATGGCAGCAGTGAACGGTAAGCTTAGCCATCCCATCCTTCGTGCACAACACTTGTCTAACATTTCACAGATATCATCATCCAAGAGAACCTCCGTCTCTGCGGTTTGATCTAATGAACCTATCGTTTGGTGACGAAGTGTGTGGAACCTAGATCGCATGTTTTTATTAACCGGGGCTGATCGGATCTGGTCGAAAAGCCTCGTTTCAAGATCCCGGCGTTGATTCTCTTTTGCGTTTCGTTTTTTTTTTTTCTATTCTCCATTTGCTCATGTTCTAATTTTCCCCGCCATTGACACGATCTCTAGCCGGTTTTGTGTTTTTCTTTTGTCACTCCTGATATCCACTGCAGAAAACAAGGAGTGTTTCCCTCCCTTCTTTTTTCTCTTTTCCTATCTCCTTTCACAATTTTTTTTACCCTTCTGATTTGAATGCTGGATATCCTATCATCTCTCTCCCCCCATTTCTTGTTTATGTATGTAACCATATCGTCTCCCCCAGCATTTTCCTTGGTCTTGCGTCCGTTGGAAGCCAAGAGCGTCCATTTGGGCATTGGGCACGGGGAAATGGCAGGATCCGCGGATTTGAATGTTTCCTTCTCATGTGTCATGCCAGGTCGGTCGTTGGGTTATTTCAGAGTTCAAGGATTGACTCTCAAGGTTCTGACTCTTAATTCCATACTGTTTCTATACCCTCGATGTGTATTATATTCGTATGCTCCCAGTTGTAGATATCGATAATAACCTTGTGATTTGTAGAGAGTTATAGACAGTTAATCTATGCAGCGCGAAACATGGGTATTGACGCATAAAGATAGAATCAACTATCACAGACAGAAAGTATTAAGAGAGCGGCATCCTATGACAGCCTCTCAAAACCTCAATTTCGGCCCAACGTAAACAATCAGAATAGCAACAACCCATAATCCGAAAATCCACGCATACAGCATCATCCGCCCCCACAGCCCCTTCCCCTCCGTCATCTTGCGCAACATCCCCATTCTCTTCCCCGCCGCTTCCATCGTGGTACTCGTACGATCGATACCCGACACCGCGCGATCCAAAGCAGACTTCTCCCCCTCCAGCGTCGCCTGGAAGCTCTGCGAGGAGGACTTCAATTGCGAAGCGAGCGTTAGAAGCGAGCTAGTAAGATCTTCCTGTTCCATTCTGTGGGTGCTCAGTTCAGCTTCTGTTTCAGAAAGCTTGTTCGTATTGCTTCCCGTCGCAGCTGCTTTTTCAGTGGATGATGGCGGCGCGGGGTGGGCTGTGTGGCGGTTTCGGAGGGTTGGGAGCGCTGGTGGGTTTGTTGATGAGGGTGTGGGTGTTGGTGTTGTTGTAGTGGCTGTTGTGGATGTAATGGTTTGCTGCGCTTCGTTCGTTTCCTTTACTTCTCGTTGCGAATCTGATGGTTGCGTCGGTGTCTGCTGGTCTTTCGGTTGGGATACTGGTGAGATAGCTTTCTCGGCGACGGGCTTGGAGAACAGCTCCTTCCATTCGTCATCGATGTCGTCGGTCTCATCCTCTTCATCTTCCTTTGCTTCGGCTTTAGCGTCTTCTTCGTCGAGAATGGTCTGTATACGCTTCAAGAGCTGTTTGTCGCGCGTGATCTCGGATTGTGCTTCGTGTTTGCGGTCGAGGGGTTTTATTTGTGGGAGGGAGCGCTCGAGTTGGGTGAGGAGTGAGCGGGCGTATTCAACATTCTGTGGCATTGGTTAAACTTGAGGTTCTTATATATTTGTCCTTTGGAAGTATGCCCTTTGAAAGTAAAGCCTTGGGAGGGTGGAGTAAATGCTTACCTTGTTCACGCGCATACGCTGGTATTCTGATTGTTGGAATGAGCGCCGGTCTGTCCCCGGGGAGAGGAGATTGTGCTCGAGTCTGGTGAATAGGCGGGCGACATTGAGAAGGGCGAGATCTGGAGAACCTTCAGTGGGGAATGCGGTTACGGCCATGGCTGTGACTGGGGATTGGAAAAGAGAGCTGTTTGTAGATTGAAGATGTGGCATCGATGTAGAGGGCGGTTTCGAGATGACTCAGCATTGGCACAGGTCCACGGGTGGGGAACAAGTGGATCGCCTGGACTTTAACTACAATTCATATAACAATTCATCTAACTAAGGAGTACATAGAAGTATGTCCCGTCTACTATTACCTGCTTGCCCAGTCCTCAGTCTCCAATTTTAACGGTAATATATTCAGTTCCAATCCCAGGAGATAGGATATTACTGGTTTATAATCTAGGGTAGTTAGTAAATACTCACTCTTTCGAGGTTCCAATGTTAAGGGTAGGTACTTTTCCTTTGTTCACATAGTTAGAGTCTCCCAGAACAACACAGCTATTTAGCGCTGCTCTTAGAGCTGCAACAATAAGTGAGTGGGTCCCTAAAATATTGGGCTGGTATTTGAACTCCTCAAGAGTGGTATCTAGTTATTCTAAGGCGATAGTGCTGTCGTCGATCACGTCCTACATTTTCCGGAAGCACTGAGAGGAAGCGACACTAGGAAGATGATAAGCATGAAGCTAATAGCAATCATGTTGTTTGGTGAAACTTCTTGGGTAAAGGCTTGTACGGTAAGATTAACCTTATAGCCCTAGATATATATCATTTATAGAAAATATAACGGACCATTGGGGGAATTTAGGGGTGTTGTGAGACTTCTCAGGTGGTATAACCTCGGCTTCGAAGAGACTAGAGATGTGCGTGTTATCTCCATTGACAAGGTTGAGAATGTGATAGCTCCAATAGGTGCCTTGAAGAATATTCCCAGGCGCAAGTGACAACATAGTCCGAATCAAAGGATTTCTTTCGGCAGAGGAAGCCGGACGGATGAGATATATTGGGAAATATGCATGGAATAACAAGTGTGGGGAAATAGCAGGCTCATATGTATAAGTGGATTGCTCGAAGCACAAACAGAGCGCGAAATATAATTAAAAAAAATACTAGATGATCGATAATTGGAGGATGCCACCAAGGCGTGGTCCCCGTCCACAATTGCGGGGCTGTGTACGAGGCTATCTACTCCGCCACTAGGCTAAAAGTACATCATATACGAAGTACAAACTTTATAGTATTTATATTTTATGCCTGCATGTTCTATGGATCTCTAGATAGCAATATATGGTATATTGTCACAAGTGTGACGAGAAGCCTAGAACTCCCTAGTTATCTGATACTTGGATTGCCTATCCTATAATACCCTTCCGATTCATATTACTGTCTCCAATTCGATTTATTGGCTATTGATTTTCTTCTTTTACACATCACTTGACGATTACAATGTCATTTGGTTTCTCTATTGGAGACATTGTTCTCTGCAGCCAAATTACCTATCGGTTATTTACTGCCGCGACCACAGGTCGAAAGAATACACCACGCGATCTACGAGAACTTGAAGGTGTTTTATTCGGCTTGAATTGCTCCTTGAGTCAGTTGCAAAAAGCTTCGTTGGTTATATCGTCCCGAAACTTCAATACTCTCGTCCATGATGCTACCGATGTTTCGCAACAATTAGGGCTTATGGTCCGCTCGTGTCTCTAAACCCTTGGGCACCTCGAAAGCGCCACAGATAAATACCGAGCAACAGTTACCACGCCTTCATTGATATTGCATGGTGGGCACAAAGTCAAGTTTCTGCACTCCTGGCAATTCACTATTCAAGTCAAAACACAATGGCGGCGAATCCTGTGGGATCTCCGGGGCTAGTCTTTGAGCCAATACTGACGGAAGCTCGAGTCGCATCTTGGTTCCATCAATCTTCTCCTAAATACACTCATATGGTACGTCGTGTATGTAATCACCACTTAGACCTCCTGTCGCTCATGTATTCTAGGTCCGCCACCGATCGCATCGAACAAGACGGCATGCGTCAGGGAAGAAGGATTGAAGAATTACTACATCAAGCATCACACTTCAACAACGCACTATTTTACCGGATACCGAAAACAAGTCGGGCCGCACCGAATAGTTCATTTGAGCTTTCTCGTGGTTCCTCATCGAGCGTATCAACGATGCTTGAGTCGGTTCCATCAAGGCCTAGACCTAGACTGGATCAGGTTTCTGCAGGTGTATATTTTAAGGGAAGTCAGCAGGGCCATGCAGGTTTCTCCAACGGGATAAGAGCTTAATCATCAGGCTTGACCGCATGGGGTTTTCTGCAGAAATGTCGAGCTTGCAGGATGACATGTCTCGACAAAACGGTCTCACTTGCGATGGAGTCATGGCGTTACCTTGTGATTTATATAGCCAGTTGATCATGTATAATTCAATATTTATACCAAAGGCCAGGAATTTTGAAGATATTCTTCAAACTACAACAGCAGATAATTGCCGGGTTGGACCTTGCAATATATATCATAACCATAATACTCGTCATATTCATATGCATTGCTGAACATGTGCTCAGCAAGATAAACGTATCTGCCTCCCAGAGCAATAAACAGATGACCCAAGCCCACGCTTTTCTAAGGAAAGACATTATTCGTGAAAACGTGAAGACCCACATAAAGGGAGGGAATAAGAAAGAAAGGCGTAAAAAATGGCATAACAAAAGACAACAAAAAAAAAAAAAACCATAACAGAATCAAATAACCCCAGGCCGAGACAGCAAAAAAACAAAAAAAAGAAGACCCCCAATTCCGATAAATGAAGGGAATGAATAAACCTGTAAAACAGGCGTCCAACTACCTATACTCCACAACAACGCGCTTCCAACTCCGCACTCCCTCATCATCCTCATCGCACATTTGCTGGATCGTTTCGTTGCGCTTTTGCACCTCTTCGCCCGCATCAGAAGAAGCCTCTAAAGATGTAGGACTACTCGCTGTCGCCGCTAATCTCCCACTTTGCTGCTCTCTAGCCTGCGCCGCGAGGGCTCCACTGCTTGGCAGGAGGCAGGTATGCGATAAAGGTTGCAGGATATCGCAAGCAGATGGAGGGCGCGAGGCCGATGGGACGATATTTCCTTTCTCCATGATAGACTGGAGCCAGAAGTCTTGGACTTTCTCTTGGTTGAATCCAGATGTAGGAATGATGTTTGTTTGTCTCCGACGACGATATTTGATATACCGGTGGATGAAGATGAGACCGAGAAGAGAAAAGCTGACCAGGGTGGTCACGGGTAAAAAGAACCCTGCAGTTGACTGCAGGAGCTCACGAGACAGACAGTTGTATGTTTGTTCTGCAGTGTGCATAACTTGGTTTTGGGTGGTTGGATAGCGTCCACCACTCGCGAAAGATTAAGTTGAAACTGCCTCCCCTGTAGAACGGGGGGGAAACAGCTCAACTTAAGACTGGGCGTGTGGGGAAGTGAATCTAGGCTAGATGAGAAGGATTTTAGCGAGTCAAAGATACGAGTATTGAATCGAGACTATGAGCGGACTTGGCGGAGAGGAGACAAGCGGCGAGTAGAAGGAACTAGTGGGACGGTGTGCAGGGGGCGGGCTTTTTTAGTTCATATATAAGAGCTAGAGATCGAATATTACAGAGTTGTATATCCTAAATAGGCTATGGGTGGGGAAGGGGGGGGGTGGGTGATGATCGAAGGTGATCCCTGAAGCACCGGGATATATCTGCAAGATAGGGCTTCTGCCGTACATGTGAGAAGAAAAAAAATTTCAAAATACCGAACCCGAGAACCGGGGTTTCTAAAGTGGCAAATCAGACATGATAGATCGAAAAGCCAAACCGAATACAAAAATACAAGACAGAAAGATTCGAAAGAAAAACATTTGAAGAATGTCTTTGCCTCATCTCCGTACTCCGTAGTCTTGACCAGTATACAAAGTACTCTATAGACAGGAAAAATGTGGATAATTTCAGGCCAGCCAGCCTTAGACTCCACTCAGCTTACCTTTTACACGCCACCGTTTAGCATTTTCTTTGTTCCTATTAGGATAGATCCCATTCTCATGGAATGTTCCAAGGTTTAACCAATGCCGAATTATTGGAGTTGATTAACGCCCGGAGAAAACAGCCATGTGCTGTCGATCATGACAAATGTACTCCGTACTCCGTATTCCGTATGTACGTACGTCTCATCGAGGTCGCCTTTGGCTTTCAGCTGGCGCCTGCATGGGTCCCCCGCGCTAAGCCATTTCATACATCGAATCACAATGCAGCATGTCCGGCTCGGCTATTATAGTGGGTTTACACTAAACCATGCGAATAAAGTCCAACCCCCGTTAAAAATGTAAGGATCGTCGAAGAGCAAATCCTTCGAATTAACGGGGGGGGGTTGTAAAGAACTGAGGGTCTTGCCCAGCCCTGGAGGTACCCAGGTGGCAGTTTGGGAGTTATGTAATAAGCCCAGGTGCCATGTTTATATTACATAATCATAACGCCAGCAGAAAAGGGCGGACTTGGCCACTAGAATTAATAAACCACGTGGGCGGTAGATCTAAAAAAAACAACTCTAATTCTTTACTTATACTGAGGTTGAATGGCCAAATAATGGAATAACCTAGGAGGGTAAATTCTTCCCAGTTACAAAGAAGTGGAGTCCATTTTAACGGGAATTTGCCTGTACAAAGTAGTTAATGATCTATGTTTTACCCCTTTGGTCTCATCTTATGCCTTAAGGCCTAAAGTGGGTCGAATGATCGCCCTGACTGGCCCGATTTCTTGGGTCTGCAAATCAGAGAAACAGTACGAATAATAAGATGCGATGTGAATGATCATGAATGATATACTGGTAAGAAAAGTAATATAAACATAGTCTAGAGTTTGGCGGTGACACTCTTCAGCTCCTCTTTGGCCTGCTCACGCAATTTCATACGAAGGATCTTCCCTGATGGATTCTTCGGGATCTCATCGAGGAATACAACCCCGCCGGTAATCCGCTTGAACGCGGAGACCTTGTTGTCTAAGAAATGCGCGATCTCGTTGGCAGTGGCGAATTGGCCAGATCTAAGCACCACATATGCGCGAGGACGCTCATCGTTATTGCTAATTTGGTTTTAGAATAATCCAAAATAGGGTGATCCATGAATCCAAAAAAAAAAGAAAAAGAAAAAGAAAAAAAAGACTTACATGACAACTCCGATCACTGCGACATCTGAGATCGCTGGATGTTCAAGTAAAAGAGCCTCCAACTCGGCGGGCGCCACCTGGTTGCCTTTGACTTTGATTAATTCCTGTTCTCTCGTTAGTTTGTTCTTTTGAAATAAAACAAAAATAAATAATAAAAATAGAATATACCTTCATTCGATCCACCACATGGATTTTGCCCTCGTCATCCACAAACGCAATATCCCCCGTCAGAAGCCAACCATCCACCGTCTTAGTCTCTTTCGTGGCCTTCTCATTACGCCAGTAGCCCTTCATCACATTCGGAGCTCGAACCCACAACTCGCCACGGCAATTCCGCTCTATCACCTCTGATCCATCTAACATAATCTTCGCCTCACAATTGGCATTGAGCTCACCGACAGATGCGGAGGTACTAGTTTCAGTAGGAACCCATCCTGTAACCGAACAAGTCGCCCTAGAGGATAGAAAGATGAGTTTAGTTCCCAAAGATTGGAATAGATCAGAAAATAGATTAGAAAAAAGAAAAGAAAAAAAAAAAAGAAACTCACTCAGTCATGCCCCATCCCTGTTTAATATTAATCTTCCCAGGAGGCCACAACCTCTCAACCTCCTCACAAACCTCCCTCCCCAACGGCGCAGCACCACTCCCAACCAACTCAACACTACTCAAATCATAATTCTTGACAGCAGGATGCTTCGCCAACGCAACAACAACCGGCGGCACGAGAATAAAATCCGTAATCCGGAATTTCTGCGTATACTCCAACATCTTAACAAACTCAAACTTCGGCATCACATACACCGGCGTCGCACGGTACAGCGCAGCCGCAATGAAGATATTCTGCGCCATCGCGTGGTACATAGGCAAGAAACATAACCAGCGCGAGCGCTCCAGACGAGCCTTGTAATTCGGATGCAGACTTGCCGTATGACAGTACTGGAGCATATTAGCAACGTAGTTCTTGTGTGAGATCTCAACGCCCTTGGGACGACCCGTTGTCCCGCTTGAGTAATTGAGAGCGAGTGTGCGCGACGACAAGGCTGGTGTATTCAGCTCATCCCAGACAAAGGCGCTGCCTTCTTCTTCTGAAGCGACGAGGTCGCTCCAGTATGCGCAGCCGTTTTGCGGGGCTGTGGCGCCGTCGTAGATGGAGCTGTCGTAGGCGAAGATGCGGGTTGTGGGGAGATTGGCTTGCTTGGCTGCTTCGAGACCTGTTTCTAGACTGTTGCGCGCGCAGAGGAGGTATGTGGCGCCGCTGTCGTGGAGTTGGTAGGCCAGTTCCCGGGCTACGAAGGTTGGGTTTGCGCCGGTGAAGATTCCGCCGGCCATTATCACGCCCAGGAAGACTACGGGGAAGAAGAGGTCGTTGCCTGAGAAGAGGAGGACGCGGTCTCCCGGTTGGAGTCCCGATTTGCGTAGGCCGGCGGCGAACCGCTGGCTCCAGAGGCGGAGATCATGGGTGGTGAGGTAGTGGGTTTCTGGGCGGGCTGCTTCGAGGTAGCTCTTGTGGGTTTTAGAGAGAGGGGCTGTGGGGGATTTGAGGAGAAGAGAGGCTAGATGGGTGTCTGGGATGTCGATTGTCCAGCGGGATTTATACGGCATGTTGGGGATATGATAGGTGATGCTTTAATGGTATTGATACGTGAGGAGAAAAAATGGACCTAGAGGAATATGATGGCAAAGGCTTCATATAAGTAAAGAATAGATCTATGGACGGTCCAATTCTGCACAATTCCCCTGTCTCCTTCAGAGTTCACAATGCATCTCCCCGCATTGTCGGTTATATGCATATGTAAGTTTTGCGGGGAACTTGACAAGCCCGAGCCTCGGTCTTCACAGTGTACGGGGTAATAGATCAGTCATCGAATTAGTGTGCGGAGCTGATACATAAAGGCTAATAACGAGTGGTTAATGCCTTGGACTGCGCCGTAATAGGTATTCTCCATCCATGGATGGTTGGGGTATGGCATAGTGGATGTGATAAAACTAGGCCATATCCCAGAATTAACGACCCAAAAGAATAAAAGGACTGGAAATAATACAATTGTTTTTGAAACTTGAGCTCCATGCATAAAATAATTCATCTACTACACCCCGGCCAACCCAGAATACATGAAAAAAAAAAGAGAAAAGACAAATAGCAAAGGCTATGAAGAGCATATTCATGAATCCTCCCCACCCAAACACGTAACGGCTGCCTTCATCTCACTAACAAACTTCTCCTCCAGTCGGTTTTCGGCGCCGGAAGTTGGGTCGACAGGCTTTTGTCGGGACCATTCCACCTCCTTCTCATTGGTTGCCACAATGCGTGAACGTAGAGCAGTGCGGCGACCGAGCAGCTCCTCAATATCTTCCTTGACTTGTACCCGATCCCATTTGAGATCTTGGATGGCCTGTGCATCAACTCCAGCACTGGCACCTGCCTCACGGAACCGGTCCAGGATGAATGAGATCAGTGCGAGCGAGTAGGCCTCGGAGACCATGCTAAGACTGATCCACTTGGATGTCGGAACGGAGGAAACGGCAGCATGGCTGGAGAATGCTTCTGACGCGCGGGTCAGACGGGATTCGAATTGGTTGAGGAATGCTGCCACCTCGGGCGCGGTCCGCATGACACTGTAGAGCATGTTCAGACACAGAGGAAGGAATCCTCCAGTCCAGATGGCATATAGTCGGGAAACAGGGTCAAAGGGACCGAAGGATTTCTTTTGGCAGAGAATGTTTGTAAGACGGCAGGTGGAAAGTTTCATCAAGACAGCCTCGACAGCAAGGTGTTCTGCGAGCATGGGCAGGGTTGACATCTTGACCAGGATTGAGACGCTGAGCTCGGCGTACACGGGGTCGCCTGCCACGGCTAATTGGTCGGCCCAGGAGAAGAGCGTCGTCGCATGACGAGCGGTGTCGTGTTCCTCAATATGGTACACGATGTGCTCATAAAGGCGATCGGCATTCTTCACTTGCAAGCATGTCTGCAAAATAGCAATGATAATGGCGAAATCTTTCGGTGCGCATTTCTCCGGCGCGTCATGGAGATAAGTAGTGAGGGATTTGAAGCCCTGGGCCACTATTGTTTTCACGACTTCCACAATGACAGTTAGATCCGAAGAAACCTCAGCCTTTTTGTTGATAGCTTCGGGGGCACTCCGAGAGGGACTATCCAGG